ATATATATATATATATATGCATATATATCAAGTTCTGCGTTATAATAGGCACTCACGTATTGTCAAAAAATTTGCAGTAACTCTTAGAATACAAACTTTACGATATACTTCCGCTGAATTGAGACATATGTGTGCTTTTGTGAAATGATCAAATAAATTGAAACTGTCATCCAGATATTTGCCGATATGCATCCGAATAAAATCCTGAAAATTTAAAAGATTTCATCAAAACTAAAGTGTTTTGCAAATAAACTTGATCAAAGTCGGCGCATATAGATGCGAAGTCGAAGATCTCTGCAGAGGTCTAACACTTTTGGGAAGTTCTATATGAATTTATAAATTATATTCCTTTCTTTCTCATATCAGCTACTACAAATAATGACCGTTACAGAGGATGAGGCACATTACCAACAAAAGAAAATAAATGCGACACACAGAATATTTTCTCAAGAATACTCTTTTTATTTAATTTATCTCCCCGCTGACGGTGTATCTGATCGTAGTTTTGGGATGATAACATTAAAAAGCCTTGTCAAAATTTTGCCGGGAGAAGCGCTAAAGTAATAACTCCTTACCAAAGACGAAACGGACATAAGAAGCAGTCTAGCACTAAACGATGTAGAACAAAGAAACTCGGAAAGTTGCCAGATGAATAAGCAAAATACGCATTGAAGCCAGCAAATTATTAAGTATTTTTAATAATAAAAACCAGCACGTAATTTGTTTGATATCAAAGCAGCCCTATGAATTTCTAGAATGGCAAAAATATTAAATCTTTGGTTTTCAAAAATTCAGTAACCTCCATATCCACATACAGCCGTCGATAGCGAAAAACTGATGCTGCTTTCATCATGCACTCGTATTCAATCCATGCCGCAAATGAAAATCGTTCGTAACCTTCCAAAGCTGCTTTGAATTTTTCAATGATTTCCGTGTATGTAATCGAACATTTTCCAGATCTAAGATTAAAACCAGTGTTACAACGATCGCGAGAACTATTATAACAGCAAGACTAAACACTGTTTCTCACATTATACAGATCACAGTCAAAACATTTTATCAAAATA